GAGCGAGCGGCTGGGTGGTGCTCAGTTGCCAACTGAGGTTAAACCACGACACCTTGTCTGTGGATTTTGGGAACATCAAACAGTTCTTGAAGTAACAGAATGAGAGATGGTTTGATAATTTTTTTGGAGCTAATGGAAAACGATTGTATGTTACCTTTTGAGTTTTAACGTTAAGATGGCTGTAGAGATTCTTCTTTAAATTTCTTACAGCAGGCAGGGTCAGAGAGTTCTGGTACAATCTGATATTGACGCAGTCTTCACTGTTTAAATTTTTTTAAAGCTTCTCCTTTCTTTCCTGTGTGACGGTTAGATCAGTTTTCCAGTGGTTGTGGTGGGTGTTGGTGTGAATGCTTCTATTGGTTGTGTCGGGGTTGATTGTACATGATTTGTAAAATCTCATAGAAAGTAATATCCTACCTGCAGAATTTCATTGGGAGAATGCAAAATCTTATTAAACATCTTACTTTGAATCATTCCTGAGGAACTCTGTTATGTTCCTATCAAGCCTGGTAACTTCCGTCATTTTTAAATTGCCCTAGATTTTCCGCAAGATTGTGATTGCAAATGTTGGGACAGGGGGTGAAAACTCACGCTGCTGCCATCTGTGCTGTGAATAAATGGAAAACCTACATGTTCTTAGGTTTACTATTAGACCTGAAAGATAATAGTATACAAACATGACTCTGATGATAATTGTTGTCATTTGTTGGCATTGGCATCCCATTCTGATACGTGGCATAGAAAAATGGAGCTACAGTTCAGTTTTGCTACCTCCAAGGGGGCGGCGTTTGCTGGCCCCGTGTGAATGGGAACGAAAGGAAGCAGTGAAAGGAGAGAACGATTATCCGTTAATAATTCTTCTCCTCAGACGGTTACTCATCCTATCCATGTATACTCCCGTTAACAGCAAGTCCTTTGTATTTGAGGACTCTCTAAACTAGGGGGAAGAAACTGAGCTAGTCATTTGTGTAAGTAGACTCTCTGACTCCACCTTAGCAAGAGAGGGCTTCTTAAACCTCTTCTCCAGAAACATCCTTTAATCCTTTAATTGGGATTGCACAGGGAGGAGTCTCAAAGAGCAGTAGTTACTAAGAAGCAATCCCTCTTACTTAAAAAGAAAAGCTAAAAGATGGTGAATAACCATATGATTTTGCAGCCTACTTGCAGTGAATTTTCCTACTGCTTGGATAGTTTTAGACTCACCACTAAAAATAACAGTATAAAATGTAATGCTGGGTTGTAAACACTAATCCTTTTACTTGCTTGCAAAATGCAGTTAGATTGCATTACATCGTTCCGTCTTCTGCAAAACCTCCTTCGGGATGCTCTTACTAATGCTGCGTTATTTACTTTATGATATGACTTCTTGTTTTGATCAAGGTACAGGGTGAATGTACATGGGTCGTTGTTCCTGCAGCTTTCCCATTTATAACAGAACCTCACAGTTTTCAGAAGACTATTTGAATGATCTTAAGATTCTCTGGTTGTTTAGCATCATTCACCTGCCTAAGATACACCTATTGTTCATTAGAATAAAGAAGTGCGTCCTTGTTTCTACAATGGTGAAGAAGCTCATTTTCAAGGGTGAGGGTGACTCTGTAATGGAAATGTTTTAATGTTTTAACCATCCAGTGACCTCGTAATCCAGTTTCCAGCTAATATTGAAGCACTAAAAGCACAGGAGGTGCACAGGCACTGCTCAAAGCCTCACTGGAGACACTAGAATGCTATATCAAAAATCGTTGTCTCCCTTGAAGTAAAGAGGAGGGTGTATTCCCAAGGTCAGTGACTGAAACAGATGAAACTCTAGATATTAAGCGTTTGTGTTATGGATGGTAAAGTAGGAGTCATTCAATAAATGCCTGTCTGCAAAGTTTTCTTGTAGTTTTTATGGCCATAGATATTTTCAATTAAAAGTATTTTGCCTGTAGTGACCGATTTTGACCAAAAACCTAACCAAAAGTCAAAACCTGAACATATAGTAGAGGGCTGATGATGTTTTGAAAAGAAGCAAGTTAGGGTCTAACATCAACTTTTGGACAGAGGTGTAAAAAATGAAAAGAAATGCTTCAAAGCTGTAGAACATGCGCAACTTTCAATAAAGTAATATTTCCATCAGTACCATTGTAATTCTTTGCATATTTTAAACACATTTAAATGCACTGCTGTATTATGCTCAGAAATATTTCTGGTCAGCGTTTCTGCATTTTAAGTGCATATTTTTCTTCTCAACCGCTGCTATTGCAAGACTCC